TATATATATATATATATGTGTGTGTGTATATATTTATTTAAAAAGCCTAAATATTATTTAATTGACTTTTTATAAATCAAATGAAGAGTTAATTCACTTGTGCATGTTGCACAAACTAGATGCAGAAACAAATTAGACAGAAAACTACAAATGCATTAAAATACACAATGATAGTCTAGTAATGTAATTATATAGCATGGGATTCAAATCCTGAATTGACAGCTGAATTTACTTTTGTTTTCTTTTTAGAATACTATTTATTGGAAAAACCCAAGTCAAAATAAAATGAACAATTATTATTTACAATAAAACATTACTTAATTTAATTAGCTACTGCAACGTCTTGAGACCCAGTTATAACCTTTCGAATTATGAACACCTTTACTGTCGCTATGATTATTAACACCATTGCTGTCGCTATTCTAGAACATTAAGAACACTGAAGTCCTGCATTGATTCAGTCTTTCAAGTATAACAGTTATACAGTTTCAGTAGTTCAACTGGTAGGCCAATAACATTTCACCGACAATGCCAAGGCTGCAGGTTTAATTTACAGGGATAATAAATACTTAAAAAAATGACTGTATTTACTGCCACATAAAAAAAAAAATGAAAGTAAATACTATGTACATTAAAAGGTGAATGTGTAACTGTAAAATTAGAATGTCTATCCATCTGTCTAACCCCCACCATAATATCCATCCTATCTATCTATCTATCTATAGTTCGAAAAGGTAGAAATATAACAGACTTTTATATGAGCCTTTATTATTTAATTGATTTTTGTTTTGTTTTATAACAACGGTACTGTAACTGATCAAATACGTAGTGAAGCCGTGAATGCGAATTCAGTTGGCTGGCACTAGATGCCGCTCTGTTCTTGTAGATACAACGACAGACGAGCGAAGAAGTCTTGGGGTCCTGTTTCATGTGTTTCTGGGATACTGGCGGACTTACTGTGGTCTGAATGTCATGGCGACAAACAGCGAGCAACTTTCCCGATGTTTCGTAATTGATACAAATCAAGAAATCCACAACACAGGTGAGTATATGTGGGTGAAATATTTCTCAAGAATAATGGCGGCCTAATTTAAGAATACGACGGGAATGACCGAGCTGAAGGCTGTATGTTTGTTGTTAAGCATGTTACGAATAGGATGCTAAGCTAATACAAGCTAACGAGTCTTTGTCCGCGTGTTCTGTTAGACGCTTATCCAACTGTGTTTATTACGTGTTATTATTTTCTACGCCCACATAATTTAATATTATCACAGCACATATAGATTAACTCTATTGTACCTGTAAATGAGCTGGCATTGCAGTTGCAGAGCACGCTTGTAGAGTTAGCCTTTGTAGCAGGCGCGTGGTGAGTTGGCCGCGGGGAGCGCATCTCCATACTGTCTTCCGAATGAAACAGCGTGCAAACAAACATATACGAGGTACTATATGTGTTTATACTAACCGTAGGCATATATATGTTGTTTATGAAAATAAAATTTACACAAAACAATGTCGTCTATCCATGAGGTGCATTAAACCAAAACAATCGCACGAGGTGTCGCGTGTGCCCTCTTTACCGCGTTAGCCGGGTTGCTTAACTGCATTTAGCAATCATTTAACGTAGTGATATTCTTATATTTGTGCTTCTGTATGCTTGGCCTGAGTGACTGTTTGTAAAACTCCACTGACTGAATGATTACATTTTTTCCAAAGTGCCGTTGGTTGTTTCTGTCGGTTGTATGTTTAAAACACGTTAGCGTAACTATTTATCGATCATATGAATAATTTTGAATTTCTCATTGTCCAAGATCGTTGTGTGTGTGTGTGTCTGATAATTGGAATATTTCAAATGTCCATTACAGAAACTTACCATGGTAACCAGAGTTTCCTTCGAAATACTTGATTTCCTACCATTTAGACACTGGTGTCAACAAACTAGAGGGACATTTAAAATGAAGGATAAGGCATTTTACACATTCTAAGAGTTCACAAATTAAGCGTTCCCCTTCATTTATTTTGATTTTTTAAACAGTAGTACTTTTGGGGCCAAACTGGTTACCATGGTAAGTTTTTGTTAGGGTTAGTAATTGGGTGTGGTACCATAGCCCACTTAAATTTGCCATGATAACCATAGTTGTGTGAAAATTGTATACTTTCATGGGACATATACTTCCAGCCACCATAGTCAAACAAATATAGATTTAAAAAGTTTTTTGTTCCCCTTGTGATTTTACAGTAACATAACAGTAATGCCGAGTTCACACTGCACGATTTTAGCCCGATTTTTCACTCGCCGACAGGTTTTGCGAAATCGCCGACAAATGCCCGACATCGGAGGCAAATCGGTGCTCGTTCATGCGAGTGACAATCACGCAGTGTGAATTATCAAAGACGCGCGATCTGAGGGAATCGCCGATGCGTCGCCGACACCCGCGAAATATTTGGCATGCTAAATATCTGGAGCTGTCGGCGATTCACAATCACGCTGTGTGAAATGAGTTCTGACTGAAAAACACATCGGCGATGACCTACAGCCAATGAGAGACCAAGATACAGGGCAGCGGAAAGTTCGGGGAGGAGTTATAGACCAGAATATCAGTATTTTAATAGATATATGAACAATTATGTCATACAGAAACAAGCACAAACATTTGCTTGACCAGCCACAACATCAGCATAACAGTTACTGCAAAATTATTTACCTCCAACTCTCTTTGCAGAACACCCAATCCCTGTTCCCTGCATCTCCCTCCTGCATAATCTGTTTTTCTTTTTCTCCTTGTAGCTGGAAATCAGCTCACAGACAATTTGCGGGCTATATATATTTTTTT